TGGGTGAAGACCATGAATATCGGGGAACATGCTGCTGCTGCTGCTGCGGCTGCATCAGTCATATTGTCTCTCAAAGCGTACGTTTAGCACTTCAAGTCGCTGCATGGTAGGACACGCCCTGTGCCAATCTGAAGCATCCAGCATGGTTGACCCTACTTTGATCTGACTCCAAATGCTTGGTTTCGCATGCTGGTGTGGCAATCAAAGTACTGAGTGTTCAATAGCTTTGCCCGTCAGCTGTCTGACCAAGTGGCATCCTCCTCCAACGACACTGGATCAGAACACAGCTCGATCAGCTTTTGCTGTCCACCTCCACTGATGGTGTGTGTGTGTGTGTCTCTGAGAAATGTCAACGCAACCCCTGTACCAAGAAACGTGTTACTAGCTCCTCCATCGCTTGCCAGGCGTATCAAGCATGTCAAACATCTTTGGGTCTGGCCCACCAAGCGCATCTGTCTTATATTCGTGACTGACTTGCCAAAATGGTTTACCATGTTGTATATTTAATACATTACAATAATGATCGTCAGTTGCTCACAAAATGGGTCGCGCCTTTCAATAACTCCTCAGCAGGCAACGAGTCTGGATCTAAGGCATATCTTACCTTATTTGAACCATGACGATGCTATTTGAAAAAAAACGGTCATGATGCGCATAATGATTGTACAAGTATTCATGGTCACTTGTTGGTTTTGCCATTCAATACCTCAGTGTCAGAGTAGGCTTTCGCGACCTAGCACAAACAAAGGTCGATGATGCACTAGGCTCACTAGGCATTCTAAACTAATCATGGCCAGTTGTCCCAGGCTGAAGAACCTTACAGATTCACGCATCACTCGATAATGAAATCATCCCCAAGAATTGTCAGGCTCCTGAAGCTGCAAGCAGCCAGCCACAGCTGAAATTCTCAAATGCAGCTTTGGAGACATCGGTGACACATCCGTGTCACTGTCCTAACGAATGATGAATGAATCACGAGGCGTTGGGTTCAAGGAAATCGCATGAAACTTCCGGACTGATCATTTGTGATAAACCTGCGTTGTGTTTGTAAGTTTCAGATTTGCTTTGGCAACAGATAGTGGAAAGAAGAAAGACCATGAAATGCAAAATCGCTCTGAGTACAAATCTGAGTGTCAACCACATTAGCTCAACATGGGCTCTAAACAACACGCGACATTCATCAGTTGACTCTCACATGGCCTCCTCTACATGCCGCACGTGGGCCATCGACCCCGTGTGCAAAACCAGTACACACCGGTCGACGCCGCCCAGGGCACACCGCCCTGCGACGTCAAGGCAGGTCTCCTGGAACAAAGAAATGGTCGGCCCAAGGATGTCCAATACGTTCGTAGCTTCTTGTTCCTAGTAGTACGGCCAGGAGCCCCTAGTATCGTCCTTGCTCCTAGTAGCGATGCCAGGAGCCCCTAGTAGCTTCTTTGTTACTAACAACATTTTTAAATTGGTTACTGTAAATGAACATCCACGCTAAGCCTTTCTCCGAGAAATCAATCGCGCAGTTTCTAGCCTACATGAAGAAAGTTAAACACTTCAAAAGCACTTAGGTTCTGGTGGCTGGGACTGCCACACTTTGACTCTCATCTTCTTTGCGGCTGGTGTTTGGTAGGAGTTGGTCCTTCCCACTTGGCTCTTCCCAAAACAATCGCCTCTTGGCAAAACTATTATGATACTAGAATGTAAGTTAAACCGTATAACACACCTGTATGCACGCACACCTCCTTCATTCACCATGCTTTGGCCAATGAGAATCAAACACCGTTTATATAGTTATATTTAAATTTATATATATACACGCACTTCGATCATCTTCGATCACAGCTGAACCCAGAACTTCTCCTGGCCGTTGACAATCCTGCAGAACTTCAACACCTCAGAATGTTGAAAATCAAGCGTGGCACCTTGGGTAGACACCTCCTTCCGAATCCACGAAAGGCTGCAGGGGCAAAACAACGCCTCTTTCATCGAGGCAACCACCTTTCTTTCCAAGGAACTGTGAAGCATCGTGACTTGCCAAGCGTTTGCTTTTGTAAGCCGAAAACACTGTCCATCATGCGCCTGAGCCAGGTAATCTTGGTTGAATCAAACATTTCGGACTTGGAGGGTTCTGCGTGACATTGCATGACTGTCACAAAAACTGGAAGAACTTCAGAAGAACAACAGTAACAATAAGAGTATAGATAATATGTATTCTGCAGTGCCTTGACTGATCCACCGTGAGAAGGCCGAGTGACAGCTCAGCTGTGGTGATCACGCTGCTGCTGTTCGGGTCCTGACCAAAATTAACCTGTCCACCATGCAAAGTAGGAGTCAACTATATAGAAGAAAAAAGGCATGCAAAAAAAAAAGTGCAACAAATTTCACTGGGCCACTTTGAGAGTTTGTCCCGGGCGAATGCTTCAATCTCTGGCATATTAGTCTCTAAGTCAAACTCTCCCTAAAGTTCTAGGAACCAAATCACTAGCGCGAACTATCCTGCGTCCTAAGGTAGTAGCTACTTAAGCTACTGGCTACTTCTCCCTTCTAGCTAGCTAGCTACTGACTTAGTTAATTAGAAGGGCGAGGCCTCGCGTAAAAACAAAAAGGTCCTTGGAGTGTTCTTCCGACATCTCCGTGGGTTCCTTTGGCAAAAGGTCACAGCTGTAGGAATTTGGCGGAGCTGGGATTGTGGCAGGTGTCTCCTGGCCAGCAGTATCACGTTGCTACAGTCAGTGTCTGTCAACAAGCGCACGGGGATGTTATCCTGAGTGAGGAGGCCCTCGCTTTACAGAATTGGTTCTTCGGAACTGATGTCGCTGATAGTCACCGCATTTCCAATGTCTACATGTGTCATGGTGTCTGTGTGCGTGTTACCTCCCGTCTCCAGACTCTACCTCTTCATTTCCACTACTTTACTTTCCTTTCCAATCGACTTTTCTGTGTACAGACGCGACAGTGGACCACTATCACTCACTCCCCAACGAAGACTCGACAGTGATAGTTCGGTCGTGATATCCAGAAGGGACGCCTTCCGGACATACCTGCATTACATGTTTACACGTGCTTTCTGATCATGTGGTTCTAAGTAAAGCTCACCGCTGTCTCCTACGTTGTTTCTGCATTAAAGGGCTAGTGCATTCGGCTAATGCAGTAACATAAAATGCCAGTGCTCCCCGAGATCTCCACTGAAACTCTGCTCGTTAGAGCTCTATTCTGAAGTGTGTGTGTCTTGTCCTAGTAACTCACGCATGCGGAGGCTTCACACTCTTTTCCCTTGACGGCAAGGAGCACAAAAAAATCAAAAAGTTGGCCACAATGTCCAAATCTCTGCTCAACTGCTCGCCTCTGACTCTTGCTTCCTTTCCTCTGGTGCGTGCAGCGCCAAAAGAGCGCGTAGCTCAGCACGGCTGTACTTCTGGCCATCTTCATGCACTTCGTCCTGCAAGGCGATCCATTCAAGTGAGGGACGTCGACTGCCTCTGAAGTGGAACCCATCGAAACCTGCCTGGGTAGAGAATCTATAACGACATGAATCAGTTGAGTCGATGGAGGAGAACGCCTCTATTTTGTCCATATAGAAAATACAATGAAATACATCTTACATCATCTTACATCATTGCTATTGAGTGGACTTGATTTGTTCCCTCTTGGAACAATGGCCAGGGCTGCGTCTTGTGATGCTGAAGGAATGTGGCCGAAAACAACTCTGAAACTGAAACTGCGTGATGCTGTTGTTTGGTAGCAAGGGCCTGTAATAGTCTGTGAAGTATGTATATTATACAGTAATTGTGGTATATGATAGTATGACTGATAGTATGGTGCAATCGTACATCTGTACATTCTGGTTGCATGTTCTTTCCATGGAGGCCTCCACAATCTTTCCAATGTTTTGTACTGTGTGCTTCATGAACTACTTCCTTCATGTCACCCAACAGCCAGCTGAAAACGTCGTTGACCCCAACGAAATAGTGATTGCTGAAACATGCTAAAGTGGTGAAACCTGTGTGCCTTTGTAGTTGTTTCAAACCCATCTAAGTCCCAGGTCATGACAATGATTGTAACATGTTGCAACCAAGAAAACTAGTGCCAAGCTAATTGCAAGTCTTCTGTCCTTGAAGATTTGGTCGAGGACGTTGGCTATAGGCCGCGCTACACAGTAGAAGACCAGTTCAAGAAATGACACCAAAGGAACCAAGGCAGAGGCAATAGTGAACCTGGGTTGGGGAACAAATGAACAGCAAACTTGCGTCTGCACACGATTGTGGAAGGAACATTGAAGCAGACTTAGCTATTGCTGTTCATTAGGCCAAATCCCAAATTCAGCAATACAAACACATGTGATGCTAGTGAATATTGGATATTATTGGATTCATTGCAAAATTTGGGTCCTCTGATGGCCAGATTTGCCAAGCAAAATTGTTTGTCTCAATCTTCCTTGCCCACCATAGATAATACACGCGGTATCACAACAGCCTGAACACAAGCATCCCTTCCACATTGCATATCGTCAAGTGCGAGCGGCTGGTTGGGGCCGGTGAAGACAGCCGATGGCAGAATCTCTCCACATACCAGCACCACGGACACCGAAAGCCTTAGATCTTGCCGCAACTCCTGGTTGACTGCACTCAGTTGTTTGTTGCCTGCAAAATCTAGTCCGTCTTCGGCACTGATTGTCATGGCTGTTTCAACAATACAACATGGACGACGGACGACGGAAGCCGAAGCAGTCCGAGCCGAACCGAACGCAAATGCTGCAAATCGAAGACCGAGCCGAAGCCGATAAAAATGTCCCCGCATCGAACCGATACCGAAACGGAGACATGCACGCAAGTCGATACCGACACCGAACCGATTGCGCGGCTGCTGTGCACGTAGTTGTCCACCCGGCGCAACTTGAGCGGCATAGTTTCGACCTATTTAAATTCCTGGGTTGTAGACTTCGGATGCCAAGGGAGGACAAACCCTGCGTGAGTGTTGGGAAAGGCCGGGCTTATACCATTTTTGGGCCACGCGTCTACCTTACTCATGCACACGGGTCTAAGCCCACTAAACAAGGCTAAGGGCGGGCGGAAACCATGTTCAGGTGATATTTCAAAGGTTGCAAATTGAATCGCAACCCAAGACTGCGGAGGCAGCCGTGCGTTGCGATTCAAATCGCAACCTGTTTGAAACATCACCTGACCATGGTTTCCGCCCTTAGTCTTGCTTAGTAGGTGACCCTTTTGCGGTGGAAAGCGCGAGACCTCTGGTATAGAGCATTTTGTCCTTCGCTGTGGGACGGGTGCGACCAGAGTTTTATATAGCTGCTGTGGTTGGTTCTGTGTTGGAATTCCTCTGTAATCATGAGCTATGAAAGGTGCCTGTGGGGATGTTGGGGGGCAACCCACCGATTCCTTTTTCAGACCATTTCAGACCAAGTTCAGACCTGGCTCATCATGTGAAAAGCCAAAAATACCACTCTAGATTGAAGAAGAATAGAAACTAACTAGGCCCATTCAATTTTGATTTTGCTCAAGGCTGAGCAGAACCTATCAAAAAAACGGAAGTTCCACCCCACCCACCCAAATGTTTTCTGTAATCATGAGCTATGAAAGATGCCTGTGGGCCGTAGGGGATATTGGGGGTAACCCACCCGGGTTGCTTTTCAGACCATTTCAGACCAGGTTCAGACCTGCCTCAGGTCATCATTTACGTGCCACCTCCCCCCCAAAAAGGAAGAATGAATTTGCTCAAGGGTGAAAAAAGGCTCTGGAACAAAGGATGTATAAGCTCGGTCTAAGTGGAGTATAATATAACTATAGTGAGAACCGAACCGGACCGTTTCGACCATGATTCAAACAGGCGGCGCTAGCCAGCAAAGACAAGGATTGTGATGCTTGAAGCTTGCTTGTACGATTTTGTATGATGTGATTGTTCTGCTTGCAACCCTCCTCTGTCTGAGTTCCGTTGCATATTTATACAGGAAGTTTGTAAAGCACACCCCGCTTTGAAAGGTTGGCAACTGTGACATTTGATGGCCTGCAAACTGGATCCATCACTTAGCCCAGCTGCCTTGCTGTCTCAGCCAGGCAGTATAACTTTCCCGCCAACCTACGAGCTTCTATGTGTCAAACAGTGAGGCACCGAGGAGCAGCAAGGCTACCCACGAAGGCACCAATTCATCCAGGAAAACCGGCAACGCCTGCAAGCAGTGGTCTCCACTTCATCTCTGGTTTCTGGGGAACTAAAGGATTGTGATGGATTGAGGCTTTCTCTCACCCATTGATCGCTCAGCACCGCGCATATGCGAACATGAATGTCCTAACAATGGACAAACCCTGGCTGTCGTTGGACACATTCAGCTATCACTTCATTGAATACCCCTGATTGGTCACTGCCTAGCATTCTTTCATATTCTTTCGCCGGCCAAGTGTAGGACAGCTTGGCATTTGGAAACCAATGAATGAACCCTTGAAAGCCGAACTGCTTTAGAATACTTCTGAATACTTCTGACTTCGGACATCGACCATTCTTCCAAACCATTGTATAAAGGGTGAGACACGAAGGACACGCGAGCAATGATTCAGGATGCATGCTTGCAAAACCGATGGTCGGGCAACTAAAAATAGTGCAGTTTCCCTGAGTTGTCTAACCTCATTCGCCACTGTGTTGAAGAGGAGGAGGGTCACGAGGAGCAAATGGTGGTCCTCCAACCAGGGGTTACCGGAAACACTAGCTGGTAATATCACGAGTTGTTTTGTGAAGGTCCTATAGCGAGGTCAATTCCGAGTGCTTTGTTTCAAAAACAGTACTGCATCGACTTCTGATTCTGGGATTATCCAAAGATTATTGTCTTCATAGCTTGCTGCTTGCCTTTTTGATCATCTGGCACTGTTGGTTGGTCTCGACATTTGAACATAAGCAAATTCCATGACTTTGCTGCTGCAAACTTAAAACTCTCCAGAAAGCTGGTTGTATATAGAAATTGGAAATAGTCAAGGACTAGCAAGTTTAACTCTGCATGTCATGGCCAGCAGTGGTCCTTGACTAGTGGCAAAATTCGAGATGCGCACTGCTGTTCTAGCTTTAACTTGCTTCTCTCCTCTTGTGTCACACAGTCCTGGCGCATCTCAACATGCTCTGACACACAAACAATGTGATACACCATTGTTTTAGAACTAGAACTAATTATATATAATAGTACGTATATAGTTATGCAGCACATTGCTGGGGATTTCTGCGCCTTTCAAGATCCTGAACCATGGCGCAGCTGTCATTTCATGTTGGAATTCACAGGCTTGCAACGTGTCCACAGATTCACATTCCGTAAGTTCAACCAAACTGAGTAAGTGGTTGCAGCGTCCTCTGGCCGCGCTGCCAGGATTACCTGACAAGACCCCCCCAAGAATGTTGCATTCCGGTAGCAAACATCTCCAAGCACTCCAAGCAAAGCGTTGTGTTGTTCCTTTCGGATGGCCCATAGTTCGCATCTTGACAGCGACTCCCAAGAACTCGAGAATGAGAATGAAAGGCCACGTGTGCAGCTCTGCCTGTAGGCCAAAAGGCTCCAACGTTGCCAAACCCAGCGTCAGCCCAGCAGCCAAAGCGGCTGAAAGGACCTAAGGAAGGTAAGCAAAAATGGATGCAAAACTCAAGACTGGGCACCGGTATCAAGAACTCCCAGACTGTGTGGCCAGGTTTTTTGCTGTTTGGCCCTTTGGACAACCACCAATGACTCCATCCCAAGGCACACAAAGCAGCACTGCTGACATGTCAAACCAAATCCTCGGCTTCAGAACATCGGAGTTTAAGTTCTTGAAGCAAGCAAAGCCTCATCTGCCGCAAATAATCCAAAATCCGTACGAGCTAAACTGGCCTCAACCACATGCAGCACATCCCAGGAACTTGCCAAGTCATCATTGCACATAATTTAGCTGCAACAAATTGCAACAACCTGCACTTCCCTCTTCCAGTCTTTCACGAGGTCAAAGTCTGCTAGTATTTAGATGTCTCAGTCTAGGAATCGTTTCATTAAGTGAGGTTCTTTTGCGTCCTTGCATGTAGCAGCTTCTCTCATTACTAGTACAGTATATAGAATAATGGGTCTTATTACCAATTCAATATCAATGATGACTTAATACGGCAAATACACCAGTAAAGTTTTAGCAAAGGTTCTCCATGGTGGCCATTCGACTTTTGGTCTCCTGGAGGGGAATCAAGAACAGCTTTGCACAAAGGGGATTGGGGATATACTTAAGGTCATCTAGCATGACATCAATGAAATCCACCAACAGGGAAACACCAAACCATTGTCAAAATGTTGTGTCAGGCACAAGCGAGGAGCTGTAACCAAAGGAGAAATCTTGATCTGCTCAGAACAAAGCATGGGAAACAAGCCGACAGACAAGCCCCAGCAAAATCCGGGGCTTGGTAGGCTTTTCAAGTCTTATTGGTACTTAGCAAGGTTCATTGAATCTAGTGAGTTTGGTTTGGCTTAATCATGATCAGCATAGACAAATTCCATTGAGGACTTCAGTCACTTCCCAGGACTTGTCCATCAGTAGTAGTAGTAGTAGGAACTCGGTTGGGTCAAGGCACACAACTCCTCATAAGAAACCATCCAATCCAACCCTTTTTGACCTGCCTGATGTTGAATTGGGGATAGCAAGGTGAGACACTCCGAGACACTCCGATGGGGACAATTGCACCAAAAAAAGGGAGTCCTAACCCAACAAACATGAATAAACTCTGGATCGTGGGTAGATGTCCTTTCACATCGAAGGTGCCTAAAAAAGGTTGACAGCCTTGCACCTAGTAGCTTCTAGCTCTTCGTAGTAATGCCCTTGTTACTAGTAACGATGCCCTTGTTACTACTAGCTTCTAGCTACTAGTGTATAGTAATGCCTCACAATTGCAGCGCCAACATTCACCAAACACTCGCTCCCGCACCCTTATTTGACAGAAAATAATTGCGTGGGGTGCAAATCATGCAGAATCCCAGCGCCCTGACACCCGCCTCCGGCTGCAAGGCACCACACATTGAGAACAGGCACTACTCACCAGAACATACAAACCGACGATATCTGTTTAGCAACCCTTGCTGTTCCCTACACCCCACACCTGGGTACCCCATCTCCACAAACTCCTGACTCTTAGCTTTGTAAATGGGATGTTTGCACAAGCTCAGTTCGCGCGCTCCTCATCTGAGGGACTCACGCAGAGCAAATTGGTTTCCAGCCATTGCCTGAGCCGGCAAAGGTCCATCTAAATCAGCTGAACATCAAAACTAGTACAGTAACATTCCCATAATAAGGTCCTTGGACAAACAATGGACTATACCAATTCAGCGAATCAAACAGTGCGGCAGTCCAGTACAATTTGCATCGAACAGAATCAAACGGTCGTTAGCTGTGAGCCAAAGCAGGATCAGCTTCAATCAGTTGAATAGCTTTACATAAGTGCTCATTGGTTACATGAATGCATGTCGCATGCCAATCCTTGGTGATTGTAAATGAATTAGTTATTCCGTTGTTGTTTCCTGGGAAAAATAGCTGGCAGCAGCCAGCACTCATGAGCACAAGACTTGAAATGAATCCACACACCCCTTAGCAACTCTAGCAAGCTTCTGAAACAAGCAACAAAGTTCCAGGATCTAAAATCACGAAACACTGCACTTTCTCATATGGTACACAATATAAATAGTTTAAGTTTATATATCTATTTTTACATAAATAACATAGATATACATTGCATCTGATATCGTTCGAGCTCTTGGGAGCTGACTTGACAAGCCAAGGTTCCCATTTGCGGGACACGAGATGGTGATCTCTCGCAGTGCCCCGCTCGAAACAAACGAACCAAGGGGACAGCGCAAGGTGTACCTGAAGTTTGGCCGGCTGAGAACATTCATCTGCAAACAAGCTGAAGCATGATGAGACTGGGAGATGATCTACCGTTATTTTTGTTGGAACCTTTGGACATGAGCAGCCAAGTAGCTCTCCACCAAACTTTGTGTTCCCTTGCCATTCGCCCAGAGCATCGGTTTTAGCACCACAGTCCTCATGTCATGGCAAAATAATGACGTGCCCCAACTTGACGACAGGGCTGTTTGCAATGCTGCCAGAACCCCAAAATGACACCCTTTCTGTTTTTACTTTCGGCCTTCCTTCCTTCCTTCCTTCCTTCCTCTTCCTTCCGCCTGTTGTGATCAGGAGAGAATGAGCCCGACTGTTGTCCAGTCTGATCTCGATCATCTTCCAATTTCAACAGAGCTCGTTTTGTTCCGACTGGTTGGAGAAAGATCCTGAACGGTCTATACAAGTGTCTAAGATTGCTCTTGTGCCTTCAAACCCTTCTTGCCACCACCTTCTGGCATGCAATTATCATCTGGTACAATGAGACCTCCGTTTAAGCTGTGTAGGCTCAGTGTGCGTTCAAACCATGCCTACAGTAGGCCCTTGATTCATATCAAGTTGACCAACTTGCCACGGCCTGGTGTTCACAGCTGGTGCCGTTGTCAAAGAAGCCATCTCGGCACTCGCAGCGGAAGGTTCCCTCATCCAAAGAGCGAGCCTGGATCCATCAACGGTTAAACCATGTTAAACCATTCTTGTCACAATAAGTTTTGGTCATAGTAGGGCAGACATAAGCCCAAGACCGTAGGAGGATATGCCAACATGGTGACTCGTCGCAGGGTGCAGGCCTTCACAGACTCGTAGCCTGTGCCATTGCCCACAAGGTCGATGCAAACCCCATATGCTCCGCATGTGTAGCCGCGGCAGATCTGCTCATCAATGCCCTGCATGCTTCTGGCCCAACAGCTCAATCCCAACTGAATTTGAGGGAGTGCGGGAGTCTCAGTACATTCTAGACTCTAGACAGGTACCCGTGGACATGTCAGAGGAACCTCCTTGATATAACGTAGTCGATCTATCTTTCATACCGATTCATACCACTTAAACATGATGCTACTAGGAACAAGGACGCTACTAGGGGCTCCTGGCCGTACTACTAGGAGCAAGGATGCTGAGAGTGCAAGACGTCAAGACGTGAATGTCCAGTCACCTCGGGTGCTTTGTTTGGCTCTAGACTTTGGCCTACAAGCAATTATGAAGGACAACCCCATCTGCAACGTTGGCCACATCAGAACAAGAGTTTCTGCAATAACGACAAGAAATCCGTGACAATTCCTTAGCCTTAGTCTCTTTGAAAGGTGTCTTGATGACTTTGCCGCCTGCACACATCTCCCACCCCAAACACAACAACCAAGTACATTGAGCCCATCTGGCTCTCGCTCGTTACTGCCTCGGGCCCACAAACGATCTCACCATCCAGCATATGGCCTCATCTACCACCAACGGTGATTAGGCATGATGCAGTGCACCAGTCTCATCTCAATGCAAGAGAGTATTGGATGTTAGAAAACTTGTACAAATCTGGAGCGCTGGATGAATTTGTCAATGGGAATTATATAATATGGATGAATCAGTATGTTGAATGGAGGTTTGGCGTCCGAACCCAAACATCTCAGAAAAGCAAAACTCTGAATTCACAGCGTGCTGCTACGAAGCGAGGTTGAACCATGCAAGTTACTGTAAACACCAGGTTCCTAGCCCTCAGCCAAGCCACGTTGGAAGAAACCATTTTCACAATTGCAATCGTAGCTTTCGATGAGGTCTAAACCTCAGGAGCTCGGAGGGGCTGCCTCTGCTGACTGAAATGTGAGGTATAAAAAAGATCCACTAAACCTGAGAAAGTTAGCACAAGAGCCACCACATTACAAACATCTATTCATGCCAAAAGGAATACGTTGCATCCAAACGTCAAACAAAGACTTGGCGCATAAAGACACAAATTCTCCCACAATGCATCCATCCATCCATCCATCCATCCATCCATCCATCACCAATCACCAGATCACCAACAAGAACTTGTATCACCAGCATGACCAACGCTCCCAAGGCGCTCAAAGACCGACCCTCTGTGACAAAACTTTTGCCCCATCTCATTCAAAAGACATTTTCGGCATGACCCACCCCCAGACCCCTATAACTTACTTAGTTCAACAACGTTACGAAAGCCAGTCGGCAGGCCAACCAAATGATCATCCATAATCCATTGCCCTTGTTATATTCTTTCATCCTGTCTTGTGTCTTGTTCACAATGACCTCCAATCCACACCGGTTCAGTTTAGTGTATTTTATGAGGAACTCAGGTGAAGGCAGGTGGTCTGGATTTGGGACAAAAATAGATACAAAATACATGTTGGGGTTGAGACTTGAAGCTAGGCCCAAGAACCTGTTGAACTGACATTCAGTATGTTGCTGCTGCAGTGACTTTCTTTTATAGTACAGTACGTGTTGATTGGTCCCTGTACGTTTGTGAAGAATGGGATGACTATTCCCAAAAACACGATGTCTCAGGAATGTGTCAAAACACAAGAAGATTGGCAATATGTAGTAGCCCACGCATCTGATGGCAATTTACTTCACCATGATGCACCCAAATCAAATCAAAGTTGTAAACTCTCATGGCAAAACAAACATGAAATCAAAACAAATATGTGTGTATATATATATATTGAAACTCGCTCAAACTCAATATCTCAAGGTCGAAGCCCTGTCAAAAGCCTTCCCAGACATGCGGGGCTCTTTCAACTCTTGTATTGTATAGCACAAACAAACTAAAGAGTACTAATTGTAACAAAACTATGGATCAGCTCTTCTTGTTCAGAATATGCTCGTGTCACGTCAATGATTTTTCTTCTACACTACCGAGATATCTTCCTTTCTTGGCATTGCATTTGCAGGCCCAAGATGTGGGAAGCGGCTCCAAATCAGCTACTGCAAGTCTTTGCAAGCAAAACAAGTCGATTGAGCTTCCAATCAGCTTCCCCATGTGTTAATGTTCTTTGGTTTTGTGTTGCGACAAGTACTTCAACTTTGGACGAGTGGCAAAGACCTAAAGCTCCACAGCCATGCTTAAGCTTGGCGCAGTCATCAATATTCTTGCAGTACAGTTCCTGATGTGTAAGAAGCTGTGCAAAATGGTGCGAAGATCCGACCACAACAACAACATGACCCGCATAATTTTACTCAAAACCCTTCATGTGTGTTTTCTTTTCTGAGGCATCAACATGCATCGATTTAGCAGGGAAACAAACAAATCTGCTGAATGCAAGCCAGATTCTGATGGCCACATGAGGCTGTCAGGGCAGGTCATTGACCTACTGCTACCTGAAGTGAGAGAAACAGTGCAACAAAAAGGGGTAAGCGGGAAGTGGACCTAGAGGCGGGCCAAAGCATAGAAATCATGTAATTCAGGGCCATCACTTGACAGCTACCAGCTACTCACATTTTTCACTATGTGTCACCTCTTCTGTCTCTCAACTTCATGTTTCATCCTTTGCCCAGGCACCACCTGGCTGACCAGAAACTTCAAAGCCTCCGGACATAAGGTTCCGAGATGTGAAAGAATGGCATGCCAAAATGAAATCTTTGAAGACTAAATGGCTCTATTCGATCATTGTACTGAGCAAAGAAAGGCAAACGTGCATGTTCCTGGATGCAACCCATCATGATGTGCACCTAGTTGCCTGAGGGAGATAATTAGAATGTCAGAACCGACGAGATCGCTATTCGGGGTATGTATGTCAATGTATGTGATTAGGCTCATATATCAAACGTTTGTGAATCTTCAAGACTTGGGGGAAGTGTTCCAACCCGGATTCCAACCCATTTTTAATCAGGAAATGTCGGGAATGCTGATGCTTTCCATGGACACTGATCTGGATTCTAGTAAGGAAGTGTATATTGTCTGCCTAGTGTACCTTGTTACTGCATGACTCATATGACCATAGCATTCCATGCCCCCAAGTTGCACCGTTTGGATCCGTTTGGCATGAATGGAAACATCATTGGCAAAACATTACAAGGGCCACTTGTAGCAACAACACACAAATGCAATCTACTTCAAAATTATGCCAGCATAGACCCCAAACAGTTTCATCAATTCTTTTTGCGTCAATTCCTTGAACTCCAATGTTGGTGGTAACGTCTCTAATTACATTTCTTTAGCTTCCAGCTGTTTGGGAATGGCATTGATTGAAAACAATAGTGCCTGATTCCCGGGTCACATGTGGAAAAACGAGGGGATATATATATATAATTATATATAATTGTCATGAGAATCCGAGGATGATGTCAAATTTGAAACGCTGCGCCACTGTTGCATTCATAGCCACAAGAAAACATAACGGACAAGGCTGTGGAGAAAGGGAAAGCGGTGCTGGGTGAGGCGGGCCTGGACAAGGCGGTGGTAAAAGGGCCAACAACACGGACAAGCAGCCTGGACAAGGCGGCGCGGCCAAGCAGACCCGGACAAAGCCTAGACAAGGACAACTACTAGGAACAAGAAGCTACTAGGGGCTTCTGGCCTCGCCACTAGGAACAAGGACGCTACCACAGCAGCGCCTCGGAGAAGACCTGGACGAGCCCCGGGCGGAAAAGAAAGCCTACGCTGCTGCCACAGCTATCATGGCCAGCCATTTCTTTCTTAAACTGTTTGGGGAACAAGAGGAGGACAGAGGAAGACACAGCTTTCGCAAGAGTGGAAAGAGGACAGAAGGAGGACAAGAGAAGGACACAAAGTTCGCAAGCATGGCGGAGGGCCACAAGAGGACAACAGGACAACACCCAAACACAAGGTTGCAGGGGCGCGGCCAGAGACTGTGGCCAGTGTCTTTTTCCGAGAGAACAAGAAAGAGAAAACTGTTTGGGGAAAACGGACTCTTTCTGAATCAATTGGAGAACCTCTAGCACCTCACTATCACCTCACTGACATCCCACAGGATTTTCCCTGCCTGGTGCACAGTAGAGGGTGTAATTCCCTCCAACCATCAACGAGCCCTTCCAGATACCGTTGGCATCGTATAGCTCCTTGGTGGTCTGTCGAAAGCCATCATGGAAGAACTTATACAAACAAACTTGTTGATGTCCTGACCACATAACATACCTCATTCCTTTCAACGGATTGCCCCCTTAAAACGGTTTGAACACTGCCGAAGTAGGTGTCCTAGTGTTGGTCAAACAAAGAAGGTTGAAGTTTTCAATGCCTTCCATCATCCAAGATATCGTTCTTTCCTCAGGCATATCATACTGTAAAGGGCAGCGACAAAGTGCAGAATACTGAAGACAGCTTCCGAAGGGCTCTACTACATTGTGTGAAAAGGTGCAAGTCAACAAGGGCCTTATGTGAAATTATTGAGCAGGATTCCTGATGCACTGGAGGGCGAACAGCAACCTTGGTTGATACTACGCAGAACCAGCATCCTGTTTCAACTTCGATTTGAAGACCTTCCACTCACTACGCCTCACTATCCTCTTTGCCAGCATTTGATTTACCCAAGCTCTGCATGCGCTTGGTCCTGCTTTCTCTGCAGCCCAAGAGTCTGGGCATAATTTGGCTGACCAAATGTGCCCTTGTGCAGATGCACTGGCCAGCAAGCCGAACAATATGATCATGGCGCATTGGAACTGGACAGAAAGGTCGACAGCTCAAGACCCCATACCTTAAGAGGCCCTGGCAAGCGACTGTGTAGGCAAAATGGTAGCAAGCTCAGCTGATCTGCTCGGGCCTTAAGGGGTTCTTCAGGTCCTGCGGGCTTCCAAGGCTTTTGCTACTTGGGTGTCCGCTGAGGCCCCAAGTTGGGTCTCAGCTTGAAAGCAAATGACGTTGATTAGGTTGAGGTCTCAGTGCGAACTCACTCTGTGGCACCGATGTTCCGGTCCTCTTTCGCATCTTTCGATTCTACAACCTTGTGCAATTGCGAAGGTACTGAGCCAAAATGCTAGGGATATAAATAGTTCTCGCCAGGCTACACGGGTCAAAGGGTCGATGGAACAACCCCCCAAAAAAGACACCTATACTAATAGAGGCAGCAAGAAGGAAAATGTACGAGTTCATAGTCGATAGCAATGTGAGTATCACTTGCTTTGTCACAGGACTGTGGCCCATCATGAGGTGTTGGTTGTTCTTTGTGCTTAAATTTGTGCTTCGCGTGGGAAGCTCGAAGACCAAATGGGTAAGGATACTTGTTAGTTGAACATACCACAAAAAGCTATTTAAACAGTTGCGGGTGGAGGTACATGGTCTTCACCTTGAAAAGAGCGTGCGAAGAAAAAGTCTGATTCAATTCCCTGCGGATTGATAAACATGTCATATGCAAAAAAAAAGTGGAACCATGTGAAGTCAAAACATTAAAATATATGGTGTATCATGATGTATAGTGCAAATGTAAGTTACGATAAGTTACGCCTCTTAACATATAGTGCCATTGGCAGTGGAACTGTTCGAAGAGTCAAACAGTGACAGTGATGCAAAAAGTAAGCCTGAGGCTGATAGGTCGTGAAACATTAAGGATGATAACAGGTTGCAACCGCAAATGCAAAACAACCTGATAGGACGATCCAAGATACAAAGCTTGCCTCGCAAGTACTTCTCATCCGCACTTTCTGCAGCTTCAACATCCTAGAGAAAAGCTGGGAAGAAACCAAACAAATGCGTGACATCTTGCAAATCGATGTTCTGAGGCAATGGGTACCACAATCAAAGTGAAGTGTGTATTCGTTGAATTGCGTGGTGTTGAGATTGATACTGTGTGTGAGTGCGCAGCGGAAAACGGAGACCACTGTCGGATTCTGAATACTTGGACATTAGAAGGTTGTGACTCGCGCAGGGTATTGAGTCAAGAGACAGTGCCCAAAAAGGCTCGGGGGTACCAAGGCAGCCTAAATAACGGAAGCCACAAAGCAAGCGCAAAGAACCTCTATAGAAGTGAAGCCCTAAACCCGAAAGAAGTTAGACCTATATAGACCAAGAAATGACTCCTTGAAGGGAGCCTCAAGAGATACTAAAAAGTGAAACCCTCAACGAATCCTCGAGAAACCCTAAAGAAGTGAAGACCGAAACCAAGTCATCAAGTCCAAACAGTGGGGAAGAAACCCGCCCTAAACGAAGCACAAAGAAACACTACACAAATCCGAAAGAACGGAAGACCGGGAAGCTACTAGGAACAAGTGCCACGCAACTAGGAACAAGTGCCTTACTAGTAGTAACAATAATAGTCTAATTAGAATTATTCTTGTTACTACTAGTAAGGCACTTGTTACTAGTAGCGTGGCACTTGTTACTCACTACACAAATCCGAAAGAACGGAAGACCTAAACCAATCCCAGAATGTTGCCTCTTCGAGGACCGTGGCCATGCAGAATTGGCTTAACCTGTTCCAGGAATCTTCCTAGATGAGGGAACCAAAGATAAAATGTCAACCCTTGGATCACCTTGATCCATCTTGATCCTATGTAGGTCGAAATATCTCAAAGCCGTCCGAGATGTCTACACTTCAAGAACCCCCAACATAAACTCAGAAAAAATAAGAAACACATTCAGATTTCTTTGGGCCTGCCAGCAAAACTTACAACATAATTCATAATACGTAATATATGAGCGATGGAAAAGATTTCCGTTAAGTTATCACATGGGCCTTCCTTACCTCGTTATCCAATCTCGCATCGTTTTTGGGGTGTAATCTCGTTCTCCATTCCTGTATCTGTTTGGTGCAATGGATACCCATCTCGTTCTCAAGAGGTGTTTCTACCTCGTTTCACCAGCTAAACATGTAATTAACTAAACCATTTCAAACAAATGGCACAATTGATGCCCATCTCGTTCTCGGGGTGTTCCTATCTCATTTCTCTAACTAAATCTGCCATTGGGCTATAGAAAGGTAAAAGGAACGCCCCTTCCACTAATCTTGACTACCGCAAATAAAAGCCGTTGCTCATATGCATCTTGCTGCATCCTTCTCCTTCTCTTTTCCTTCTCCTCCTTCGTTTTCTAATCTTGCATCATTGATAATCCAACGCAGCTTTTCTCACCGAAGCACGAGGATTTCCTTTCGCCTACCACGAAAAGTTATCTGCTGCTCCTCCTCATTTCTTCGCATCTTGTTCCTATTGTTGTTTTTTTTTGTGAACTGGTTTCCAGGTTTCCTGACTCTGACCAATTGGTTTCCCGACTCAGAGGCTGGGGGTTCCTGACTCACGATTTCCTGACTCTGGCGCAGGTTTCCTGACTCCGTCTTCTCTCTGGGTATGATATGGGGTCCAAGCTCCCCCAGCTGCACGAACTCAATTATATACTTCCCGTAACCCTCCAAAACAATGCTGCGAGCTCTCAAATTTTGCTCTGCCATCATGCCTAGGAGTCTAGTCAGTCTAGTAGTCAGTCTAGTCTACTTGGAAAGGCAATGGTTACTTCAGCATCCTGGATGCCGTAGGGCATATGCAGAGCTGCCAGGCAGCAGTGATGCTCCAAACTCCACAAGTCGCCTGAAGGCCAGCTCCCCTCCCTACGAGCGATCGGAAGCTACTAGGGGCTCCTGGCCTTACTACTAGGAACAAGAACGCTAACTAGGAACAAAGGGCATCGCTACTAGGAGCAAGGACGCTACTAGGGGCTCCTGGCCTTACTACTAGGAACAAGAAGCTACTAGTAGAGTCCTTGCTCCTAGTAGCGATGCCCTTTGTTCCTAGTTAGCGTTCTTGTTGCTAGTAGTAAGGCCAGGAGCCCCTACTAGGTCCCCACTTGTAGTAGCTTCTTGTTCCTAGTAGTAAGGCCAGGAGCCCCTAGTAGCGTCCTTGCTCCTAGTAGCGATGCCCTTTGTTCCTAGTAGCGTTCTTGTTCCTACTAGTAAGGCCAGGAGCCCCTAGGAGCAAAGCCAATCGTTGTAAGGCAGTAGTATGCTACTAGGTACAGGACGTTCCGAGGTAGGACGCAGGATAGCTCACGCTTCTTCAAGGAAGCGCTCACACTAATGATTTGGTTCCTAGATTTTAGGGAAACTTCACTATAAACTCAGAAGTCAAATCACCAAGTTGGAATCAATGTTCTTCTGCATGGAGACATGCCCTGTAGTCATATATATATACACTATATACCCTGTGTTGCACCACGAAGTATGACGACTTGCTTGAAAATAGTCGGGTCTTTGAACTCACTAGGAGTGCTTAAGGCCAATCTTTCTGTGTGGGTGTGTGGCCTCTGAGGCGCAAATCGGCAACTGTTTGCACCAGAACCCTGGCCCGTCCCGAACCATCCCTGCCCAACTCCAGGACTGGAAGACATGTGCGGACCTTCAACGGCGCAACGATTATAGCTGAGTCACACCCCAAGGATTCCAAGGCCGAGCGCAAAAGCTCTCCGCGCAAATCTGCATCGGGTACCAGTTTCCGTGCCAAATTCCATAGTCCTGGATCGATGGCCTCGGGAGAAGATCAAACACTGCATGCGATATCCGCGTGTTTTAGGCAGCTGTGTATATATATATACTATATGTAATAATATATGTATATGTATAGTATGGCTAAAGATCTCGGCTCAAGAGCCCGGACGGTGCCTGCCTGGCACTACGCGTGCTGAAGAAGAAGGCTCTGGAGACCGAGAAGGGCACGGACGACTACGACTACGTAGTCCTACGTGCGGGAGAAGATGAAACGGTCCTATGTGGCATGCAAAGGATGCCAACAAAGTTGGATTTGGGAAGACAGGTTGCTCGCCAAGCCTGACCTCACCTGTGTCCACTGCGGCGCGGCATGGCAGAGGGCCGTCCCAGACCTGAGGCGGAGGAAAAGAGTCACATGGGCACCATGGAACTAGAGCAAGGAGGGAGTTTCCTGGCCTTACAAGTCCTACAAAACAGCTCTGTTGGAACCTCCGCCAGGCCTCTACGGGGGCAAGCCTCCCAAAAAGAACAAGAAGGTGAAACAAAATGCCTTGTGCAAGGTAGTCCAAGAGAACTGGGACAAAATTCCAGAAGGGTTACGAACCCAGTTTGAAGCGCTGGGCGTGCCTCCGGCTGAGCCACCACCTCCTCCGGACTTGCCCTCCCTCATCAAGGAGCATTTACAGAGCTTGCCACAAGACTTGAAGGCTGCAGTTGAAAAAGATTGTGGAACCAGTGAAGCCAGAACCCACGTTGACAACAAAGCTCAAGAGCCATCCAAGCCAAAGCAGATGCGGTGAAGGCTCAATACACCTCATTACTGCAAGAGCTCAAGGAAGTGCAAAGCAAGATCGAGGCAGCGCAAAAAGAGCTCCAACAGTCGACTGAGCTACACAACCAGCAGCTAGAGAAAGAAAAGCAAGCTAGTGATGACAGCAATGTTGACCCAGAAGAACTCACTCCGGAGAACATCATGACCATCATGGCCACTGTGGGTGTAAATGCCACCCCGCAGCAGATCCAGGACTTTGCCAAAAAGCTTGGTGAAAATGTCACGAAGCGCCGGAAGTGTGGGTAACAGCGTGACGAGCACAGAACAGAAAGGGGAATGTAAGCAGTCTCTTTGCAATCATCAAGGGGAATTTGATGCCAGCATATGGAGCCTGTGCCAGCAGTTTTTGGCTCAGACCGTCTGCAAGGACACTCAACGGCGGCTGAGCTTGGGGTTTCATCCACTGCAAATGGTGAGATGATGGGGGAACCGCGACAGGCGGTTCCAGCATTTTGTGGAGGTGCTGGTGAACATGTCGGTGATGACATGGCATCAGCGCCAGTTTTTGAAGCTGATGACGAATCCCAGAATACTGAATCCCTGCAAGGACAGAGTGTCTTAGACTTTGTGCTACAGAACCTTCAGCGCAAGCTGGGCAATCCGAAAAATCGGTGTTATGCAAATGCACCATTCCGTCTATGGATGTGGACAGGAAGTTTTCTTTCTGGCCCCGAGATGTGGCATTGCACGGCTAAAGCGGTGCGTGCAACCTTTCAAGCTGAAGATGTGGTCAACCTCACCGAGCTGACCGCTCTCCGCAGTTTGTGGCAGAAATTCGATGATACCGTTCAAGATGATGCAGCTCACTTTCTTGCTGAGATGGTGGAGCTCGCCAGGCCAGACCACGTGATCACTCATCATTTTCACGTGGACCACAGGCAGACAGTACACAGAAGGAAAGAATTCCCAACTCACCTGATTTTTGAAAATCAGAACTGCCCACATGAGTTTGAAGAGCTCATCAACCAGTGGGCGAACACAGCAGAAGGGCAGGTGCTTGATGGCACAGGGCTTTGGGTGGCCCAAATTGGTCGCTACTCTTTCACAGAAGGAGAATGGACGAAGCACCATCAGATCCTCAAAGTTCCTTCAGTTTTCAACCTGCCGGTCACCTTTGATGGCAATGCTACGAAAACTGAACAATTCTCAGTGATTGGGTTTCTCTGTCATTCGGGAACTGCACATAAAAGCGGGCACTTCTATGCTGTTTTCTGCTACAGAGGGCTCCTTTGGTTGGTTGATGATGGGTCTTATCCCAGGCCGATTCAGTGTATGCAAGACTCCATGAGAACACAGATTGTTCAAGTGTGGGTGGTCCCTTCAAAGAACATTCTGCCCACGAATATCCCTAGTGACATTACGATGTCACGACCAACGACAGACATGCAACAACAAAGCAAGAGAAGATGCCTTGCAGGCACTGGTTTCTCATTTGCCAATGTCACGCAGCTCGGACAACAGGTTCGGCAATGGATCCTTGGCAGAGACCGGAAACCTACTTTCCTTGTGGAAACGCATCTATGCCCGGAAGATCATGACAAGACAATGCAATGGTTTGCAACGCGTGGTTTTCTGCGATCAGCCCCAAAGGAGGCACGCATGGTGGCATGATTCTTTTGTATCCTTCACATTTGCACATCCACTATGTCCAGAAACAGCTGATTGATGGCTGCGGGTGGTATGCTGTACATTGGTCCTTTGACAACTTTGCGCTCGTCATTGCGATGACTTATTTCAAATGTGGTGAAGGCATTCAAGGACAAACCAACACGCTGCTATGGTCAGGGCTCATGACTTTTGTCACTGGCCTTGCAAAGCCGGTGATTGTAGTTGGAGACTTCAACACCACTCCAGAAGAGTTCATGGCAACCACGATGAGTTCAGTGATTCCTGATGCAGGTCAGCATGCTGGCCACCGGAGAAGACACCTGCCTAACTGGAAGGGAACTTGATTGGGCTTTGGTCTCAAACAATCTGATAGCTGACACTTCGATTTCTGCTGATTGGATTGTCCCTTTCAAACCACACGCACAGCTGCATATCCATCTGGCAAAAGAATTGCAGAGCATCACGGCGCAACAGATTCAGCGCTATCAGCCTGCACCAAAGCTACAACAGACCCAATCAGAATGGACGCAAGTGCAACCTGCAGATGTGAAGGATGAGATGCCATATGCCAGACCTTTTCAACAATATCCCAGAGCTGAAAGGATGGAGCAGCGCATTCACAAATGGAGCAGCATCTGGCAACAAAAAGAGCAACGAAGTGAGCCTAGAACCTTGCAAGCACTGGTTCACAAAGGACAAGAACATGCAAAAGAGTTGCAGCCTTTACATGCGCACCAAGTTTGGCAAGTGATCAAGCGTCTGAGTCAGAAAGCTCCAGGGCTTGACGCCGTCGGCTATGACTATCTCAAAGAGCTTCCTTTTCAGGCCATGCCGGACCTTGTGGCTTTCTTTCATGAAGTTGAAGCTCAAGCCACAGTGCCAAATCAATGGACAACTTCATTGATAGCATTGCTGCCAAAAAACTCAGAGATCGAACGTCCAATAGCTTTGGTAGCCTCTCTGTACAGGTTGTGGTGCAAGGTCCGAGCTCCCTACACCCAACAGTGGCAGCACAGCATCAAGGATGTCTACATCTGGGAGCGGGCAGTGCCAGGCACAGAATGCCTGAAGGTGGCTTTGAAGAGAGCTTTCATGACGGAGCATCACAAAGCTTTGCAGCGCACGGTCATTTCTGTTCTCCTGGACATGTCCAATTTCTACGACCGCATTGATCTTGAGAAGCTGACTGAGAGATGGTTGGATTCCGACTACCCTGCAACCCATGCTGCATTGGCCATGCAAATTTACTGCGGCGCTAGAATTCTGGAAGCAGAAGGAGAGGCATCCAAACCTATTTGGAAAGCTAATGGAATTCTTGCTGGAGATCCTCAAGCTCCTCTAGCTGCCAAAGTATACCTGCAAAAAGCATTGCATGCTTTCAGCAAGAGATACCCTCAGCTCCATGTCGACCTCTGGATAGATGACCTGAGTTTCGATGTAGTTGACAGGGATCCGGCCAATGCTGTACGCATCGCCATTGCCGCCTTCAAATACATCCGGAAGTTGCTGGAAGAAGACAATCTCCTCATCTCTGAGAAGAAGACCGGATTCATTGTTTCAAACAGCACTGCTAGCAGAACAGCTTCCAAAGCACGGCCCTAGGGTGCATGACGTGATGCGTGACCTAGGTGTTGACTGCACCGGAGGCCGACTCAGAAGGATTCGCACCATGCAAGCTCGTCGACAGAAAGCAAACAGGAAGACAAAGAAGCTGCAGTTGCTCAAGATTCCACAACGGGCAATCCGCCTACGATTGTACAAGGGTAGCATCCTTTCGTCCATCAGCTGGGGACACGAGGCCATGGGACTCGCTCCACAACATCGTGCCAGGCTCAAGGCAGCAATGGGCCGTCAGCTTGGACAACAGAGAACAGGAAACCTTGACGTTGTTTTCGACATGAAAGGCAAACATCAAGACCCGGACGCTGCGGCCTTCCATGACCAGGTCAAAATTTTTCGGCATTTTGCTGGACAATGGCCTGAGGCTTTGAAGAAAGATCTCGAGAGAGCATGGGCACACCACCAAGAGAGACTCGCCATGGCTGCTCATCCCTGGCAAGTAGCCAAAGGACCTGTAGCCACTTTGCAATGCTACCTCAAAGATCATGGCTGGCAAGCTGAGAGCTGTCACTACTGGACCAAGCCTGCGCCCAATGATGAACCTGAATTCCAGATCAGCATGCGTGACTCATAGCTCACCATCAAAGCTGAACTCAAGCGAGCCGAGAAAAGTGACCGGCTACAACGCATCAGCTCCAGATCCATGCTACAAGAAGTTCAGAGGCCGTTGGACTGGAAACCATGGGAGCGCATGCAACGCACTCTGCACCCAGAAGGCCACCGCTTTGCAAACGTGGCATCAGGGCGCCATTTACACCAAGATGAGTGATGCGCAAGAAGGCCAACACCTTATGTGCCCGCACTGCGGCCAGCCGGCCACAGCAGTGCACCTGCTGTGGTTACGCAAAGAGACTCAGAAGAAGTTCCCTGCCCTCACCAATGAGGACAAGTTTGAATTGGAGCATGGCTTGAATCTTGAGTTCTGGTCGCAAGGCCTTTTGATGAAACCAGCTGTACCAATTGCCACAGGAGGTGCATCAGTACAGGCCTGGGGAACATGGACAACACAAGATGAAGCCCGCATCCACTCTCCTGATGTTGTCAGCATTCAACAGACTGCCGATTGAAACATTATGCAGTGGCCATTGTGCACCACACCCAAATAGGCGGCCAATTGTTTCGCCAAGGGGCTGTTGTGGCTATCCTCCCGGGTGCCCAATCCTGGGAAAGAGCATGGTATTATGGCATACGCATGGTGGCTCACTATGTGGACTTGCACCAGCGCATCATCCTGCATGTGCAAAGCACACGCGCATGGGAAGCCTGGCAGCACAACCGCCATGCTGAAGTCTTTCACCTTCTTCGTGAACTCATCACCTTGGATCAAAAGAGCCGCATCAAAGTGCTCTGCATCACTTCAAAGCAGCTCAAGGACATGCCAAAACCGGAATGGTCTTTGAGGCACAGACAAGAAGATGCCTGCAAAACAGCTCGAGAAATGGCTCTAGGGCTTCAACCCACCAGTCAAGAAGAAGAACTAGTGCAGCAAGATGAGAAGTACAAGCGCATTGCACCACAGGCAATTCAGCGAGTTCGATATCTCCTTGAGGACAAGCAGCATTTTCTGCATGCAGCCAGAGAATCTGGGAAGCTCAAGCGAGAAGAAACCAGAGAGAAGAAAAAAGAGGCCTACAGAAAGCTCTCGGTCCCAAATCATCCCAACAATCATGTTTGGGAGCGAAAGGGCAGAGGCCTAAAGTGCAAACAATGCAAAGCAGGAGTGACCATGCACAACAAATTGACCGACCTGAAAGAAGCAGCCACAGAGATATGCCCAAAAGCAGCTGACCCAGGGGTAATCGGAGGCAACTCCGGCAGCTCTGATAAAGCCACCCTCATTGAGCAGATGCTGAGTGGAACGTGTGCAGGCATGTCAGATCACTCTTTCAGCCTGCAAAAGCACTACATCGTTTGTGGACGATGCAACCAGCGGCTCCTCAGAAATTCTGCCAAAGAAAAGCTGCAAGACCTAGCCACTGCGCCATGTTGGGACAGTGAATGGCCAATCCCTGCTGTTTGGGCGGGACACGCCACACACCAAATGTGGAGAAAAGGTGGAAAGATTTTCTGCCGGCGCTGCAAAGCCCATGTCATGCAAAAGGACGGGCGGCCGCAGGCAAGCAAGCACTTGACAAAGGCATGCACTCAAGGTCACACGACCCAGCTGCCCTTGTGCTTTAGGCCAAAAGATGCCTAGTCGATGAAGCAGACGGAAAAGACACGCAAAAAACAAATATGTATAGTATAGCTATATATATGTGTATATATGTATAGTGTAGTTATATATATATAACTGGGTCTTGGTCACGACTACAGTATCAGCTTTGATTGGTCCACGAGCCGCTGGAGTTTGGCACTTTTTCAACTATAAAGAAAGGTAAAGGTTCTTGTTACCCCGAACCCGAAAGCAATCGCGTTCTTCAACTAGTCCTAGTAGATAGTGGGAGGTACTTGATTCAATTTCCGTGACGTTCGGCTTCTAACCACACCTCCTCCACTGCCGTACGCAGCGCTTGCGGCCGCGCTAGCACATTGGGCACAGCCAGCAACGCCTGCGGGGTCCTCCGTTGATGAAGCTCCTTGGTCGTTCGGAGGGGTTGGGACATGGACAAAATGGACTTACAGCATCTAAGTTACAGTTGCGCAAGCTGTGGCACAACTGGCTTCGTCTATAATCACATTGAGTCAGTCAAAAGGATACAATGGGCCTTCCCAATGTTTTTTGGATCCTTACATTGCTCCGAGTTGCAAGTGTGAAAACACTCAAGAATGTGGGCATTTCACCACTGAATTAGCCACGGACAAAATTGGTTACATGCTTGGTTCTCGCCCATTTAATGAGTCCCCTTTGAGCACTTCCACAAACAAATGTTGGGAAAAACCCTCATGTGCATGAAAACTATGTATCAAATTGTTTCAAGTTGGAACAAAGCGTGCTCCAAAGCTCTTCAGAGATCCCGTGTGCTCACACTAGGTGTTTGGCTGCTTATGAACCCTCCCAAGTGATGAGCACCCACGATGCAAACCCCTTGGTTCTATGCTTGTTTGCTTTCCAGGTGTCTGGTTTTCCAAAGTGCAGAAGCACCTGAGGGGCACCAGGACTAGTCGCTCTGGTTGCTGATGCAAGGAACAAAGTCTGGACCCCAAATCACGTCCTTTACTAAAGATTTACCGGCCATGGACGGGTTCATGCTGCTCTGCTGTGAATATGTGCCCGCTTGTCAAATTGGACATCCCGTCCTTCAGGGCATTTGTAGGTACGTAGCCCCTAGTAGCGTCCGATCGCTCCTAGTTGTGCAAATCATTGCATGGCTTTTCTGCATGGACCTCCCACCTCCATGGCATGGAGATCTGAACAAACCAGAAGCACTCCACGCCACTCACGGCCACTGATCGATGCACTGGCCCATTCATCCTGAAAAATGAGTGGGCTCACACGCCGAAAGGTGAAGGAGGTAAAGGATTGGCAATGTCAAATCCTTGGGAACTCTTGGGAAGCCTAAAGCATCTAAAGGCCTTGTATCTCTGGATGCCAGTATCTCAATGTCTCTCATGATCAAGCATACACCCTATATGAATATGTCTAAACGAGTTCTATACTTCTACTGTCTTCTCCTGCGTCCCTGCGTCTCCTCCCGTCGCCTGATGGAACTTGTAAGGTCTGCCGCGCGGCCGTTTTGCTTTTGCCTCCTGCGGCGCTTTGGCAGCGGCTGCTGCCCTGCGCCGGCGCAAAGCCATGCCCCGGCGCAAAGCCATGATTGTCAAGTTGCAGGCTGATTCAAAAATTGGTACTCCACCTTTTTCGCCTAAGCTGTGAAGACCATGTGCTTTTGGGACTATGCTTCAAAGGTGCAAGCGGTGAGGTCGACAGTGGTTCATATCCCACCAGCCCAAGCTGGAAGCTCTTCTTCATTCTCCATGTTTGCACGTGCGTCACGCACATTGCTTCCTCAAACAGCAGTAGTCGTGGCATGAAGTGAGCTAGTCCAGCAGCCCAAGGATGAGTGGCCTCTTACCAATGGAAAAGAATACAGAGAAGTCCCAGCCTTCTGTGTTTCGAGAAGAGGAGTCATTACCCGGGCTGGTCTGGGTATCTATATACATATTTGTTTTAATGGATTAATTATCCTGGTATAGATGAAAACAAACCGCCAGGACACATCTGTTTAGTTCAGAGTGTTATGTATCTTCTGCGCTGAACAAACCAGCCGCGGCAGCAGCGGCATGCAGCTGCAACAACGACAAAAACAACAACAAAGCATCCGCACAGCCTTCCTCTTTGGAAATATGTTGGCCAGGCCCACAGGTACACACCAGAAAGATTGTTCATTGTAGTTCTTTGATGTTATTGGTTTACCATATCACTCGGATGTGAAGGTGTCTCTTCCTGTCTTTTGAGTCTATATGGTCCAAATAGAACACCTTTCGGCCTGAGAATGCACGACGCATGACACAACCCTAAAACACCAAACGACCTTACATTCAACTGGGCTCAGGACGCCAGTGTATGCATACTCCCATCTAGGCAGTTCTTCTGCCTGACAGTTATATAGTTAGCTCGAAGCCGCCTTAAACTTACCGCCAGTAAATTCCAAAACATATGGAAACATGTTTTTACATTGTTCTTACTTGTTGTGTGCATGATAATGCTGCTCCGTGGTTGCAGTGAATCTGCGAGATGGGTTTACCTTTCACCCTTGTTGGTAAAATGTCAATTTTCTAAAGAGAAAACCGAATGTGCAACCTACTCATAGTCCGCACCTCACGAAGCTCCTCCGGCAGGAACTTCCTGCCACTGGTACTGCTTTGAACCCTCATGACCGATGACTGTACAATTGCTTTATTTATTTGGACATCCTATGCAAAGCAATTCCTCGGACAACCGCAATCGCTTCCTCTTGGGCACTATTCATTGCAGTTCCCACTGAGTCACTGAGTCAGTGGAATCGTGAACGGGTTCCAAGTATGGTTTCTTCCTCAATCCTTGCCCCCCCAAAAAGCATATGGTTCAGCAAAAGCAGCTCAAGCTTCTCCACACATCTACTGTATGCATGCACTGGCACTAAGTGCTGCGTCCAACATCTGTTTCAAGGGGTATTTTGTGTTTGACACCTGATGTGGACACTAGCGGTTGAAAGACAACCATTCGCTTGGCTTCCCAACGAGTCGTTCTCGGAGTCACTGTCCTCAGAACCTGAAGCTCTAGTTGCAGCAAACAAATTTGAGAGCTTCTTCTCAGGATAAGTACTGGATGTGCATCCTTTTAAGATTTTTAGAGAATCGATAAATGTTTATCTATATAGAGAACATTGCACAAATCTTAGAAACCAGAAGTCTCCAATCATATTTGCTACTGTCCCTGTGCTAGCCGCTTTCCTGTATCTCTTGAAGGTATAGAAGCTTGCAATGCCCTCGGCCCTCAGCCCCAGCCTCTCACAGAGAGCATAGCCACCAGCACGACAAGCAACAAAAGTGACGGCCTTAGATCAATTAGTTTGCTCGTTTGGAAATTGTCAAAGGTAGTCCTTACAGCAAGTACAAAGGTCGTCCTTATCTCGAAAGCATCACTGTCACAGTGCCTCTCCAAGACTCGAACACCAACCTCTGGGGAAAGCGAGCTCATTCACACCCCAAACCACTTAAACCACGTCCAGCAAAGGTTCTTTGAGCTTCAGGCTGCAAAGCCCATAAAATCCAATTGTTTTCATCTGTCGCATGCTTCGCCTCCAGTGCAGCTTGCTTTGACATTGAGGCGTGTCATTCAGGTTCACTGGGCGTATTAATCAAGTACCATGTAAGCGGGGCTGACCATGCAACCAGTCCTGAATCATCTTGGACATGTCTTCGAAACCTGAACCTGAGTTTGAGCAAAAACAACATGTGTACATAATATACAAGTATATATATATATATACAGTATATATTAATATATTCGCCGTGTCTGGCTAAACTAACAATGCACACTTCAATCTGTATGTCTGATCCTGGTGAGCTGCAAGCCAGCCTGACTGGGAGTCTTTGATGCCCTTCCAACCTCATCAAATGTGAATCCCTTGAGATATCCTGAGGCCTTTATCAGGAGATAGTTAAATGGCTTTTCATGTTACAGTGCCACACATTAGGCTGCAACATTGGGAATGCACCAAGTTGTTGCTGGCCCATCGGGCTGTGCATCATCTAGCTAAGCCCGAGGTCGACAGCCGCAATCACTTGTTGTTCTTGGCAATCAAATTAGCCCAGCTGGAGACCCCAATAGCAAGATACAAACCGGGACAAAAAGAAAAATCTGGAAACAGCTGCTGTTTTCAACACATCGACCATCTCTTCCTTGGACACCATCATCACATAACCGGGACACAATCACAAAATGACCAGGGCACCATCAAAACATGACCAAAACACCGTCACAACACGATTGGGACACCATCACAACATAACCGGGACACCATCACAAGGTGACCGGGACACCAGCATGACATGACGGGGACACCATCACAACATGACCGGGACACTATCACAACATGACCGGGACACCGTCACATGACCCGGACACCATCAAAACATAACCGGCACACCGCCAAAACATGACCAGGACACCATCACAACATGACCGGGACACCATCAAAACATGACCGGGACACCGTCACAACATGAGCGAGACACCATCAAAACATATCAAAACATGACCGGGACACCATCACAACATGACCGGGACACCAGCATGACATGACGGGGACACCATCACAACATGACCGGGACACCATCACAACATGACCTGGACACCGTCACATGACCCGGACACCATCAAAACATAACCGGCACACCGCCAAAACATGACCAGGACACCATCACAACATGACCGGGACACCATCAAAACATGACCGGGACACCGTCACAACATGAGCAAGACACCATCACAACATGACTGGGACACCGTCACAACATGACTGGGACACAATCACAACATGACCGGGACACCATCACAAGGTGACCGGGACACCAACATGACATGACGGGAAAACCATCACACACCATCACAACATGACCGGGACACCGTCACATGACCGACACCATCAAAACATAACCGGCACACCGCCAAAACATGACCGCGCCACCATCACATGATCGGGACACCATCAAAACATGACCGGGACACCGTCACAACACGACCGGGACACCATCAAAACATGACAGGGACACCATCACAACATGACCGGGACACCATCACATGACCGGGACA